TACCCCGTCGGACTTTGACGAGTACCCCTCCCGGCCCCTCCTTGATGGATCCACCGATCCAACAGATCACCGGTACCTCAACACAGGTAAGGTTCTGCTCACATGCAGCTCGTCAAAGTTCGTCACGTGCCCCATAGTCACGCATATATCCCCTCTCTACAAGGCACAGAGCAGGTCGTGCACTCCCGCAAGCTCTGGTGGTGGGGTCAACCGTCAGGCTAAGTCACCGACTTGGTCGAGAATCTCAACAGGACTGGAAATTGTGGCTGAGACTTCCTCTCTTCCCAGACTCGAGGTGTACAACACCTCTTTCCCTACTCAGAACCCCGTATGGTACCATCGCGATCGTCGCTTGATAGCCATTGTTATAAGCGAACCATCCCATGGTAAGCAATCTTCACACGCAACACACATATCAAGGACACACGACCCCAACTGGTCTCTCAGTGTCTTGACTGCGCGATCCGACTATCCAACCACGAGGGTTGATACGTAGTGCCGAGCTTCAGTATCGTGCTCGGGTCACGCTGAAAACTCGCCCACGATCTCAATACGAATCGTGCATCCCCGCTGAAACGGTCGACACGGTACCCCCATACAGACGGTACAACTCCACTATACCCATACTCCCAACAAACTCGACTCTACGAAAACAAACGTAGCCTCTATACGCAACTTAAGGCTCCGCCAGTTAACTGCATGAAACTTCCTATATTGTCGTCTCGAGGAAATCTCGCATTAAGGCATAAGAAGCTTATCAACCACACTCCCTTAATCGAAAACCATTGATTAGGGGTTCATACAAGGTTTAGTGGAACTTGGAGATCTCGGTTCAAGGCTCGAAAGAAAAGGTTCAAGGGGCTAACAAAATAGTTCAGCATGAAAAACTGGTCGAACAGTTCAGAAAAAAAAAATAAAAAAATAAAAAAAAATTCGATGGTTCGAAGTTAGTGCAGTGTCACCCAAGAGGCGGCACGCTCGCTGGCACTGCATAAGCGGGGCGCTGGGACGCGCGCGCACACACCTACTTGGAGACCAGCTGCAAGGTCGAGGTTTGGCCACACACCGTTAGCTCGGGGAGTTCGTACGTTCGGTGATGGCGGCTGCAGCTCTCGTGCGAGTCAACGGTCAGCCCCGCAGTTGGCTTCGCGTCTCTCAGCACGGGCGTGCGTGCTCAGCCACCACATCGCATGGCTACAGGCCGGCTTTCGGTCCAAGGTTCCACAAGAAAGTGACAATCCAAGATAACAAAAAAGAAATGGTTTCACAAAATCTTCGAAACATTTGTGTTCAAAAAAACAATATATCAATCGGGCGTTTCACTATTTCAAAAGTTTTAAGAGTCTCAGAAATAGTATGGTGCAAGTCTGAGTTCCAAGTCCACTACTTTTCCCAAACAACACAACAGGTCTAATGATAGGCGAAATCTCAAAAGAACTCTAATGATGATTCTCCCTAACTCAGCGGCTCTAACCGAGACATTACATAGTTAGCTCGTCTCAACTCTTCCAACTAACAACATCGGCCGTCACGTCAGCTCTCTCGCAGGTAGCTAATCGTGTCAGCAGTCCAAAACGAGCTCAACCCCAAATCTTCAATTAACCGCACGAGACTTAATTCCTTGATAGCGGTTGATCATCCTCGCCGTCGGTTGATTCGTCTTGACCACGTCTCGGACATAGACCAGGATGTTATCGACAAGAACGATGACATACTGATCCGGATATGAATGGAGTACTCGGTGCATTAGGTCCACGAAAATGACGGGGAATTACTCAGTCCGAAAGAGATAACCACAACTAAAGGAATGATATAAAACAAGTGGAAAAAAAAATACTTGTCTTAATTGATACACAAGGCTGTAACACTTGAACAAAAACAAGAGCAAGTGTTTGCAAAGGATCGCGAAAGTCCAAAGAAAACAAAAAATTTCTCCCAAAACTCCGAAAGGAGTAAAAGAACGAGAGTTTCTATAGACTGATGAACAAACTTCAAGAACAAGACGACTTTGCACTTCACGATGTGCTTGCACCAGGCTCGACTACCCTCCTTAAAAGATCCTTCATAATCTTTTAAGGTGGAAAAACACCTCTCGGCATGCGTTGGTCACCACGTATGCTTCTCCGATGTGACGTTCAATTCGATCCCCAAAAGAGTAGAACAATTGTCGCATGTTCAAGGCTAAGTCACCATTGAGGGCTTCGACGACATCCGCGTTCTCGATCACAGACTTAGGATCATTGTCAGCATAATTTACAAACTTTGCAACAAGTAAGGACTAGTAGAAAAATGAAGATGCTTAGCCTTATTTGTAAACAAAGTCACTGAACAAAGTTAATGCCAAACATAAGCTAAACAAGGGTTGCGAAAAGGTTATGAGAAGTAGAACCAGAGGACTAGAAATGAAAACATAATTCCTCCCCCAACAGCTCAATCCATTGCTAATCGAGCTCGGGTCCTTGGGTGTCACCCGAAATCGTACTCGATGCATCCAATAGGAAGGACAAGCGGAAACTTCACAGTACGAAAATTGAATAACAAGTAAGGTCTCAAAAACATAGTTCGAACTTGTCTTCAAAGCAATACTAAGCAAGGTTCCTAAACTTACAGAAACAGACAAGGATCTACATGAAATAAAATGCTTAACTCCATCTGAAACTTCATTCTACGCAAGGAAAGAAAAGACAAGCGAAAAATCCAAAGTACGGGAATTGAATAGCCAAAAAGAAGTCTCAAGCACAATTCAAAATTGGTCTGCCAAGCAAAAGGAAATAAACAAAGGTACGCAAAAGTCTACGAGAAAACAAAAGCTTAAGAAAGAAAACAAGACTGTTATGACTTCACGAGTCCACGATTCACTGCCTCCACCATCGGTTCAAGTCGTCCCCGGTAGTCCCGCTGCCGCCAGGCGACCGCTCTCGACTCAATACACGGAAGAGAATTTCATCGTCTCCTTCAATATTGAAGTGTCACCTCGCAGTCATGGCATAGGATATTCACGCGGTGTCGGATCAGCGTATCCGCCCTAAGAATAAAATCGGATTCCTTCATTTAAGCACATGTCTCGACAATCATTCAATCATATGAAAATAATCTGACTCAAAATTTTCACATGACAAAATATCCGATCATAATCAAATCCCAAATATCATCCAAGTTCAAATGTCAAAGCATGCGATGATAATCAAATACATAGTCTGAATCCCAAACGATAATGACATGTTCTGCAAATGAGAAAGATAATAATAATAAGAGCGGAAGCAGGTAAAACAGTTCAATAACACATAAATGACCCCGCCTCGCTCGTCTTTCGCCACGGCCACCAGCTCAACCTGAAAAGAGGGTTAATAGTGGGAATGAGCGACCAACATGCTCACCGTGGGAATACCATGCAGTATAATCAATATAAAAACTTAAAATCATAATCTCAGCATGTAAGCAAATCGCCTAGTCTACCCCCTAACACAACCCTACGCTCATGTGATCACATCTAAACCGTCGGAAAAACCCATCAACAAGAGCTAAACCGTTGGAAAACACATCAACGGGAGAATACTCTCTATAGACCAAAATTAGGACAACGTCGGAAAAACCCATCAACAGAGACAACTCTCGTAGACTTCCGGTTCACATGCATGCATTAATTATCAAGCTAAACATTTATAGAAATTAACATACATGGTAAGGTTTCTCAATACCAAGCTGATCAGTTGCAATGGATTAATCACACGATCGGTTGCAGGTAGGCTGAGGCTCGACTCCTCAAACGCCTACAATTTTATTCAAGATAATATTTCAAAAATACTTATCTTGAAAATTGGGAATTCAAAACGAGAATTCATACTTAGTAAAAAAAAAACGTCGACTAAGTAGCTCGTGGAATTTTGTGGAATTTGAAACACTTGGATTTGACAACTAGAGTCGGAAAAATCATTTAAAAACGTTTAAAACTAGACTCGACATGAAAAACGAGGTTAACGGTCAAAGATAGGTCAAACGGCTCGGGATAAAACAAAACCGGGTTCACTTGGACTGGCACGAGGCATTCATATGAAATATTAACCGCATATAATAGACTCAAAAATAGATAAACCCACCAAAGGATGACCCTTAAGTATCACCCCAACATATAAAACGAATTTTTGCAAACAATGAACAAAATGAAGGGTTTCTGGTTCATAGGGCTACACCAAGAGTTTAGACTTGAAATTTTTACCACATATAAATGACTCAAAAATATATCAACACACCAGAGGATGACCCTTAAATCGACTCCTAACTAGTTCAAAAAAATTTCGCAAAAATGAGAACAAAACGAATGTTTTCTGGTTCAATATGCTACAAGACGAATTTCCCTTTCAAATTTTTACAGCAAGCTAGACATCCTAAAATATCTATGACATAAAATTTTAGATCAAATGGCTGGGTAGATGTTTTTATATCATTTTTTAAACAAACAGGGCAAAAACACCAAATCTCGGTTCAGGTATCTACACTTCGAATTAAATTCTGAAATTTTAACTGCATTCTCAACAAGACAAAAGACTCCAAACCGCAGATAAGCATATAATTTGGACGTGCCAATTTTATAATATTGATTTTCAAATATTTAGGGCATAAATCGTAATATTCAGTTCACATAGCTATATAGACCGAGATAAATCATGAAATTTTAACACAATACTCCTATACCTAACAGGAGATGACCTAAAAAAATTCAAGACATTTGGCCAAGTATACGATTTTTAATAATTTTAGCAAGTTTTAGAGGCACATATGACTTTGAAAATTCATAAAAGTCACAATACTCAGTGAAATCGACCAAAACCTTTCATATCAGGTTATGGACCACCCAAGGTTCCATATTCCACTAGAAGTTCACAAAAATTAGCGATATTCATCAAGGTTTCAGTCAAACCGAAAAGATCTTAACACAAATACAATAATCCAATTGAATTCATACTAAAACTCAAAGGATTTCACTAATCTAATCATAACACATATTCTTCGTCGGTTGTTGTTCGGTTGTTATCAAAGGCTCGCGCCCTTCGTACCAACCAGTCCCATAATAGAGGGAGTTTCAGCCATCCATTACCATACACCTCAAATATGAACGAAAATCTGATCAAGGAGGCCGGATCGGGGTTGCACGGGAAGCCTCAGCGGCGGCTGGGCGCGAAAGAGAGAGACCGAGAGAGATGAGGGAGAGGGAGTTGAGTGATTTTGCTGATTTTTCTCAATTTTTCCTCTGGATACAAGAGCAGCAGAGAGGAATAAGTGAGAGAACATTATCTGTTAGAGTGCTAAGGCTTGCGTGAAAAGAAAATAGGGAACAAGTGAGGAAAATTCCTAAATAAAGGTGTGAGAATTAATACCATCAATTAAAATATTGACCTACCTTAATTAAGGCAAATTAAAGGCATTAGATGGATGAGGAAAAACGGTCATTTTGAGACTGCTTGACCATGTGTAGAGAGAAGTAAATCAATTCTAAAGATTCCAAAAATATAAGCCATATGGAATTTGCTAGAACTTGGGCGGGTTCTATAGGGCATTTGGGCGGGTCCTTGGGTTCAATTTGGACAGAGAGATACAAGGGTTTGGGCCAAGTGAATAAACTCAAGGTTCGGATTTACATGGCTCGAAAACAGATCAAAACGGATTAAAATCGGTTTACGCGATTAGACCGAAAATTGTCGAAACAATTAATTTCTAACTCAAACAATCCTAATAAACCACACGCATAGATAAATAAAATAAATCACATAATAAACAAGACTAATTTAGCACATAACAATTTGATATTAGACAGATAATTATAATAAACAAGGACTTATTAATAAATGAACAAAATAATATAAACAAAGGCACCAATCAAATATATAACAAATAAATAATTATATAATATTCAAAAAATTCTAATAAACGAACGGGTTGCTACTTCAAACCCCGGCCCCTGTGCAAACCTAACCACTCCCTTCACCAAGAGCCGGCTAGCTAGCTCCACCCACCGAGCAAAGGCTAACCGAGTAACGCACCCCGAACCCCACCGCCTTCACCACACTACAAAACCGACGGAAGCCCCAAAGGCACGAAGCCAAAGAAAGCATCTGCTGGCGGCCACTCCCCGTCACAGCCCGAGGAGACAAAAAAGCCACAAATACAGCCAACAAGCTTACCTGAAGAGGGCAAACTAGGTCGACCGAAGTGACGGAACGGGCTAGGTGGTGAGGGCTGTGCTGGAAGGGTTGTCTTCACGAAGGCGCCGGAGCTGCAGCTGAAAGGAGGCAACAGAGAATCGATCGAAAGAGGAGCTGCTACAGTAAATTAGGGATTAGGGATTTTTAAGGGCGGTTTCTCTCTGCTACAACAGAGAATCGCCGGAGATCTTACTAACCTAAGCTCTAAATATTAAATGTAATTATGTATACGACTAGTGGTAATGAAAGGGATGAATTCTATTGATGTAGAAGAACCGAGTAACTACAAGAGCTGCACAGTAGAGTTTCGATTTAAAGATAGAATTGAAATTTTTGGTGGAGTTGGAATATGATCACATCAAAAGGAAAGGTGCAAGGTCACAGAGCAGAAACCATTGTGTGTAATTGAGACAGGGAGTAGGGGAACATTCTCAGGTTTCCAGTGCTAGTGTCCAAAACATTCACAAAGGGAATCTGATATGCAAAGCTATTACAAATGGAAAGGAGCAAGTTGTGGTCTCTGTGACTTCTGTACAGAAGGGGATCAATCAATGGGAGTATTCTTTACTCTAAATCAGAGTGGCAAATTCAGATTGGTTGTGAAAACCTTAGGCAGCATTTGATTAGCAGGACTGGTTTTGATTGGAATATAGATGTTGTGGCGTCTGATATATTTTCTCTATCCCCTCTTTTGAGGTTGTTGTTTTCTCTTCTTTTTCTTAGTTTTTTTAGGTAGCTTGTCCCTCTTTTGAGGTTGTTGTTTTCTCTTCTTTTTCTTAGTTTTTTTGGGTAGCTTGTTAGAATGGCCGTTGATGGTCTTGTAGGGGAGTTCTGTCCAAAACTCCTCCTTTTCGCGTTTGTAACCATTTGGTTAGCCCTCGTACGTTGTCGTCTTATTAATGCAATTTAATGTTTGAAAGAACATTTTGATTTAAAGATAGTTCGACGTGTCGTGTACAAACATTGGCATCTTGGACATGAGAATATTTGTGAAACTGAGATGTTGGAAATTGCAATGAGTAATTAACTAACGAGTTGTACAAAACTCATCACATAACCACAAGGCATGTGAATGCAAATATTAACATGCCGAAAGCAAAGCAAAAAAAAAATGAATGTTTTACCTTGTTCCCTACTACTATTTAATACTAAAACAAACGCCCAAACGACAACACTAGAAATTAACTGCATGATATCAACATCCATGAAAAGAAAACAACAAAACTTTTTGCAGATATTTAGCAGACCAACAACTTGAGGTAACGAGTTCCCATGTAATCCAATGTCTCAAGACACTCATTGAGGTCGGAATCGGTTACCAACAGCACCCATTCCCCCTCGTCATCAAGATACTTTAGCTGGAACTCTCCCATTTTTAGCCTAAACCTCTTTGCTACTTGTTCATACACCTCAACACACCTGCCTCTTGCCTCCTCAACACACCTGCCTCTTGCCTCCAACTTGAATCGAACTGTATCTTCTTTATAGGTGGCTTTCACTACAAGTTTAGATTTTTGCATTTTGCCTGCTACACTTGGAGAAGCTGATGAGCTGTTATCGTTCATGTTCATGTTCATGTTCATCATCGAGCCCGAGCCCAATTCAGACGAGTCGGTTGAGGGGTTTTTTGATATTTCAATGGTGGTTTTAGGGTTGAAGTTTATGTTTTGGATTGGTGGCTCGAGATTTTCATTGCTCAAAATCACTCCATTTCCAAAGTCAAGTTGTTGGGTCATATTTGTCATTGGGTTCAACAACTCCAATCCTTCCATCACCTGGACAGACTCGATCAGACCTTGGACATGTTTCAAAGAACTCTTGACTTTTTTTATTTTGCGGCAAGGCCATCTCATAATGCCATACGATCTGCATATCCTCTTCAGAGTAGTCGGGCACACTAACAAAACATTGATAACGAATTATTGTTCAAGTATCTAAACTAAATGGTGCTTCTATGAGAAATGAAATTTTCTATAATTACTCACCACCAATGTTCTTTGCAGCATCTTTCAGGCTCCCGGAAAAGTGTTGCTTAAGGTCACTATAGCTAACATGTTTCTCGGTCGTGTTTCGCTTCCTTCCACTCAATTTGCTTGATTCACTCATTGGCTACAATAATCACAACATGGAAAGTAAGAAAATAAATGTACTCAATGAAAAGACTAAATTATAAAATATAGACCTACAGTCATAACAAGCACCAAGTAAATATCGAAATGCAAACAGTAAATGTAAAGTCAAATACAGATTGAAAGATTTATAGTAA